TGGTGTGAGAGAGAAGGAACAGTGTTCATCTCATTCCTCAAGGGCATCCAGTTAAAGAGTTTCATGGATTCTCACCTCGCTGCTGTGCTGTAAAATTTCCCCATGGCAGCAAGCTCAAAGGGAGCACCCAGGAGAAGAAATGTGCTGAACTCCTGGGCCTGAACCCCCAGCAGGCATAGTGGTTAGCAAAAGAGTGAGACAAATTTCCCCTGTTTCTACTCTTTTTGCATAAGTGAATAGGACAAGAGCATCATCTTGCCAGCAGACTGACGCAGCTGCTTCCACAGCCTGGTCTGAAGCAGAGCACTCTCATTTATTTTGCATCTATTCCTCTGTCAACAATCAAATGCCATTCTGCAGGCAGACCCCCAGGCAAAGGAGCCTTTAAACAAGTTCAGGAGAAATAGGAAGCAAAATTTCCTTGATGTAAAGTCTGAGACTTTTTTTTTTTTTTTTTTTTTTTTTTTTAATCTTATAGCCCTTTTCTTGTTATTTCAACCCAAGAATGCCCCTCTTTATTTCCAATAATGTTTTGATCAGCTTTCTCCTTCAGGAATAAAGAGCAAAGTGTTAGAATCCACCAATCTGGGATGGGTTTGATTCTGAAATATAATACACTATATAATATATATATATAATATAATTCTGAAATATATACACCTCAGCTCTCAGCCTTCCACCTCTGTCCCCTCTGGAGTCCCCTAGACCTGGGATTAATACTGCACCTTGGTTTTGCCCTGTTTGGATGGAAGTGCAGGATGATGGTGGAAAATTCTGACATTAACTCCTTCATAAAATCCTGCTCCTGGTTGCTTTCAGACCGGGCTGTGCCTCCACAGCCAGCATTTGTCTGGTCTGTCCCAGACGGCCAGTGCATGTGAGCAGCTTCCTCGGCTGCAGGTGAAATGGAGGTCTTCAAATCAGTGCCAAGAGGGTCCTTTGTGACCCTAAAAATGTCATGTTTGCTTCTAGATCAGAGAGATGGCGTGGTTCAAGTGAACGATCCTAAATTCTGTCCCACCAGCTCATGAATAATGGGAGTCTGTTCTACTGTCCCCTCACCCGTGGCTCCAACCCAGCACCAAAGTCAGTTCTGGGCAGTTATTTCTTGAGTTGAAGGTGTCACTCAAGAGATTACATACCTTTCACCAAGCTTCCCCGCTGTTGAAACCTCACTGGCCGTGAGAAATCTTGACTGTCAGGATTCAAAGAATTTGCGAACTGCTGGTCCTCTAGGAAATCCCTCCTGCGGCACTTTCAGATGGGTTTAATGCCACATTTGAGCCCCCAAATGTAAGCGACGGTCTGCACTTCCTCCCCAGCCCAGTGTTTTATCCAGTGGAGGAGCTGTATGTGCTCTAAGGCTCAAGTTCCCTGGAGGGTCCCACAGGAATGGGGTTGACACTCACAATTTCTTTTCCGGATCAAGCTTCTGTTTCGTGCAGTGCCTGGGGGGTTAACTGCCCCACAGCAGGAGCAGGCTTACAGAAGAATAACTACACAAAAGCTCTTGCTGCCTCTATCCTCACTGCTGTCACTGCACATCAAACCACCTTGGTGCCATCGTTTCATCGCGATGACAGAGACAAGCCAGCAGTTGCCCCTCCTCTATAATAAAGTAAAGCTTGTATCAGTTAGGTCTTTCTTTAGTGGAGGGCTGCAGCACATAGTTGAGCCTTCACATCAAAGAGTGGGGATAAGCAGAGGTTCATGCCAACCAGTCGTTAGATCTCTGTAGACACGTGATAGTTGGATTTCCCTCAGTAATGTGAGCGTTAAGTGGCTTAGTGATTTCAGATAAACTGGGTCTTTGCCCCAACAACACGACAGCCAATAGCTCTGGCTCGGTGGCTTGAATGCTTGATAGACAGTAGTGATTAGGGGGGAGAGAGCTTTGGTAGCGCCTAAAGAAGGGGGAGTCAATCTGCTACCTCGAGCCATCTTGCTTTTGTTGTGCCAACAACAAGGAAAGTAATCCTTCAGCTTTCCATAGCATTTTTAAAGTGCGAGGGAAACACGTGAGCCTGCTTCTATTTGGCATCTCAATTTTCACTCACCGTCGAAGCTGGAAATGGAGATATCCTGACAGAGAGGTCAACACCTGCAGAACAGTTCCTGCAGCTGATCTTAGGAAGTACTGAATCATTTCTGGGGGTGTCTGTCTCTGGTACCTGGAGAGAGACCCTACACACCTAGTTTAGACTCCCTGACTCATTTCTGGCTAAAGTGAGAAGTGAATGCTGCCCGAGTTGTTGGTACGTATACTGAGGAGCTTGGGAAAGGAGAAGTAGCAGCACTGAAAGCCTTTTTATAAATGGGAACCTGGGACACAGATAAATTCAGTAAGCCACACTGTGACTTCTGGCAGACCCAGAAGTTGAACACAGAGTACATTGTCCTGATTTCAGGTTGAGCACGTCGGCACTGGAGGGACAGACCACCTAGCTCAGCATGAGGACGGTCAGGCTCTTGCAGGGCTCTACAGGGGATCTGCAGCTCTGCTGCTCCAGAGACAGGACAGCTGCTGTTGTGCAGGGGTGCACAGATCAACGTGGAACTTGGCTCTGTGCCTGAGCTCTTCTCATCCAAAACCCTGATGATTATGATATATAGATGCCCAAGTGACTTTGCACATGGTTGACTTGGCTGCAGCTGCGCTTGTAACCTCTCTTAGCCCTGGCCAAAACCAGACCTGTGGTGACTCCTCCTAAGCCATTCGAGCATCTCTGTACTGCAGTTCTCCTACCAACATGATTTTTCTGTTACCTGTAGCAACCTTCTTCCTCCACACTCTCCCTTATTATGCTCCACATTGTAAAAAAGGCCTTTGGATTGGAGAATAGCTCTACTGAAAATAATATTCTCAAGGTGGTTGACCTGAAGTGTCAGCAATATTTGCAACTTGCAGTCCGTCCGCTAAACACTCTTAAAAACCTTTGCAACCTGAAATGCAGAGCTGTTGCAAGCAGTTTCACTCAGGTGAAGCAGACGGGTGATAATTGTGTGCAGGTTGAAGGCAACGGGTTACTGCAGGGAGAGGCTCACGGCATGGTCAAGTCAGGATAGAGAGTCATCAGTCAGCAGGTACTGGTTATCTCCAAGGCTGTGTCTTTGCTTCTGGAGCACATCCCAGAGATAAGGAAGAAAAGCTACACTGCATGTTATTAAGAGTGGCTGTGTTTAGAAGAACGCTCATGTTATATCCCTGACTTCGTAAAGAAACGGAGCCAGGATCAGAGCAGGACATTGATCATGATGATCAATGTAGTGGATAAAATAGCTTTTATTTATTAAAACAATCGCAGAGCTGCAATTGAGAGCTACACTTCGTCATCTCCCCTGCTATGTATGCATGAGGATACACACTGTGTTGTGGTGATCCAGCCTGCTGCACCTTTACCTCATCTTTTCTACTGCCTTGCTGCACCTTAAAGAAAAAATCTCTCTTGCATTCATCAGCCTCCAGTGCAGTGAAGAAGGATCAGTGGAATGAAAGGCCTCTCTCTCTCTCCAAGCATATAACTAGGGTTTGATTTCCTGCTGATCCTTGGCTGAGTTACTGCGTCTGACTTGCCAGTGTTGTTTCTCTAAAACAATACCATGGTGAGCTCTAGAAATGGACTCGCAGCTGTGGAAAGTACTCCACTGACCCAGCAGCTGATGCAAAAGAAAATAACTGCTATTTGTGAGCTCTTCGATTTATTCCCAGCTGTGGGCTCCACATCAGCGAGCTGGGTCGTGTCCTGTTGAAAGCAGCAATCCAAAGTTGGAAAGACTGCTCATTCCTGAGGATGATTTAGGCAATTAGATGGAGGCTGGGTGTGAGCAGACATCTCCCTTCCTTTGGACTAGGTGTCGGACTAGGTGTCTCTTAGGACCATCTCCCAAGGGTCTATTAAACTTACCAAGGCTCTCAGGTAACGTGTAATGGTGCACATCTCTAAATTTGGCCTTAAATATTTCCTTGCAAGCCTGACATACAAAAGGAGCATCTAGCACATCGTTGTACCAACAACAGATGTTTCACTGACAGCAAAACCGGGAGCATGTCAGTTTTTTCCACCATCAGCGCTGTGCCTCCATGAAGAGGGGTGATGCTCGTGTGTCACTAATTCCTTCGCATTGAGGGGTTGCTGAGGTTTGGGTGAGGTTTGTAAAACAGATGCAGCTGGCAGCAGCGAATGCAGTCAGAAAGGCACAGGAAGGAGTTTAGGATGACTTCACAAGGCCTCAGCTCTGCAGAGCCTGTATTTCAGTGTGAATATTTATACCCAACTGATGCAGACGTCCTTGCTCTCACCCTAGCAAAGCAGATCCAAGGACTGCGTGCAGTTGTCCTGGCCACCGATTCTTTTGGAAATGACTACTAGATGGCTAATCTATGTGTTGTGCCATCTGCAGTATCTCCCAAGACATTCCACCAGAGCAGCTGATGTTTCTACTTGCTCCAGTGCCTCTGCACCTCTCATCTTGAGAGCAGCATCGAGCAAGAACTATGACAAGCTGTCTGCAGCGCAGCACCCCATCCTCTTAATGCTGCTGCTTTGGTAGCACAGACTCCAGAACGCACTTTCAAAAGTAGCCACTGTCAACCCACTGATTTCCCCTATGTTGGCCACTTTCTGTTTGTATGACCCCGAAAAATTGTTCTTGTGCCTGGAGTTTGCCTTGCTAGACCTCAAGCATGCGTTGGGCTTCCATCAGCCCTGCAAGTAATCTGACCACTTTACAGTCCTGTCCTGGTTCATGGAGACCTCTCTGATCTGCTGCCAGCTGCATTCTGCCCTCCTGAACTCACCGATGCATGGCCTGGGGAGGTGGGGCAGGGCGGAGATGGGACAGGAGGGGTGGTGGCCTGTAGCAGTGTGGCCATGCTACCTGGCTTCAGGAGAAATGGGAAGGGCTTAGCTTACCAAATGTTGGGGTTTTTTTCCTTCTGTGCTACCACGTTTGACCTGACCCACTTGAGAACAAAATTGTGTGTTGTTTCTCTTTCGACAGGTGAACATGGTTATTGGCATTCTGGTTTTTAACAAACTTGTATCCAAAGATGGAATAACAGATAAGAAACTGAAGGAACGGGCAGGGTATGCCTTATCAATACATCTAAGTAAAGAATAAAAAAACAAAAACAAAACCAAAAACACCCGAGGTTGTGATCAATAACCAGGCAATGAGGGCAAAGAGATATTGGCATTGCAAAGGAAAAACAAAAGCAGATTTATACAAAATGAAAGAACAAAACCCAGTTGGTTTAATATCTCTGCCTTGTCATGCAGTGCAGCAGACAAAAGATCCAAGAAGCAGCACTGTGTTACTCTGGAGGGAGGTTAGAAGTTCATCTCTTTGTTAAAATGGCCTCAGCCCAGGCTGATGTATCCTCCCAAAGACTACGGAGAAAAAAGTGACTCTTCTCACTAATATCTAGAGACAGCAGCTGGATCAGAGGGGCTCATCGATGCTGAGTGTGGCACATGGCATGGGCTGTGTAACAGAGAAGTCACGTCTAATGGGTGGCAGGTGGCCGAGGGGCAGCAAAGGTATGTGGCACTTTTAAGGAAAAGGTCTTTGGAGGTCTAACAGGGAACGTATTAGTAGATGGATGGATGTGTAAAGAGGAGGATGGGTAAGCAGAGATACCTCTTCTACAAGAAAAGTTTCTGATGACACTTGAGGTTCTTTATCTTCTCCACAACCACCGCCCCAACCTCCATCCCTGAAGTCTGGGGCTTGTGTTACACGGTTCTCTTTGTAGTATAAACTGAAGAGCTGACTCCACGGTTTTTATCACCCTGGTCTCACTAGGGCTTGGTGGGGCAGCAGCTACCACGCAGGGCGCTCTGGGGGGTTACTTCCAAACTCTGTTGACATTCTCGTTGGCTCCAGCAGGATGAAACCCTCTTCATCTTAGTTTCTAGAAACGAGTCTTTAGCCTCTTAGCTCAGACTTTGTCCCTGAGCTGTGCCATGCTCCAAGCAAAGGACAGAAATGGTGTGCAGGTCAGCCTGGCTGCTGATACTAGTATGTTATTTTCCACTGCCTTACTTGCAGTCAGAGAAACTATCTCCTTACCTGCTGCTAGGAAAAACAGGGTTGTGTGCTCTCACTTGTCCGTTGAGGGCATTTGATTTATCACTGGGGGTAACGATTGTATTCTTGAAGGAAGAAGTTGTTTGCAAAGAGATGAGGAGGACAAGAGGTGTTCTGGTGCCTCTGCACCGTGGCCCCAGGCAGAACCTAAAAGCCTTTAGGAGCCTGGTGGAGATGATAGAGGATATACCCTGTTCTCTAAAAGTGGAGAGAGCATGGATACCTGTTGCCTTGTTTGCTGCACCTCTGGGCTTCACAGAGAGGATAAGCTGCTTTATCCACAGTGCTGCTGCAAAAGCCTTGGGCCCTAAAATTGGGTCTCGGAGGGTGGAAAGTACAAATGAAGTTCAATATTCATGTCATTGCACTATTCAGTAGTTCTGGTGGAAGGAGGTTTGAACAGAGTGATGGCAGCAAAACGGAGGGTAGAAGCAAGGTCTTCTCCAACCAGAGGAGAAACACAGGAACCTGTTAAGGTTCCCGTTTTATCAGCAGTGTTGTCATGGCTGAGCGGTGGGGTCCCCTGGTGCAGCAAAGAGGGGCATCTCGATGCCTGAACAGCGCCATGGTCATGGAAACAGGAGGAAACTTAAGCACGTTTGGATGATCCGAGGTGTTGGTTGCCGCTGGGTTGAACAGGTACACGAAGAAGTGAACCTCAAGTGAACTTGTACTTTTGAAGAAGTGACGTTGCTTGAAGCTTTATTCGGGCTGACGCCTTCTTTACAAAGAGAGAACTCGAGAAAATACCTGAATTTCAGGCAGAGTCTGTAGCAAAAAAAATTTCACTTGGAAGTCAGTGCTGAAATAAATGGCTTACTGGATGAGCAGAGCAGCGAGTTGCTGTCCCTCAGTATCTCCCTCTCTAATCTAAATTGCATAAAAAATGACCTTATTTAATACATATTTAATACTTATTTAATACATAGCAGCTGGTTATTGATCACACGCGTAGTTGTACTTTGAAAACAAAACCTACAAATCAAAAAAAAAAAAAGTCATTTTTCTGATGTTCTTTGTTTTTTCTTTCTTTTCTCTTTTTCCCCCCTCTTTCGTCTCCGTGTGTGTGTGTGCAGCACTTTTAAGCCTTCTCTGTGCTCAATGATTTTGTTCTCCTTTCGAAGTGCACCCGCTGAGAGTGCGGAAGCACTTTTGAGAGCTCTGGTGCCCCTTCCCTTTAGCTAGCTGCTTCTGGCCTGGGCTTGGGAACCGTGTTGGAAGGTAGATCTGAAGATAATCAGAATGAGTAATGGCCTTGGAGATGTTTGGATCTGAGGAGATGGTATAAAGAAACGTGTTTCCTTTAGCAGAGGCAAGAAGTATGGTTCAGTGTTGCAAAAAACAAAAACAAAGGGGGAAAAAAAAACCCAAACAAAACAAAAACAGAGGGAAAAAAAATACCTGCTGAACACTAAGAGGAGCCCAGCACACATACTGCAGGTCGGTTGGCACAAATAAATCAGTGCCAACAGTTCCCATGAAATAATCCATGAGACACGATAGGCTTTGCCCCGTACTTCAGCAGAGGAAATTGCTATGATTACTGTTGTCACATCTGTCAGAAAACGTTGACTTTCGAATGGCAATGACTTAATAGATATATCACAAACCCGGGCTGTTGAGAGTTGGGTGTGATTACCTGGAGAGCTGGAGAAACACAAACAACTGCCCAAACTCCTGTCTGGGTGATGGGAGAAAACTGTGCAAACGTCTCCCAGCAGAACGGTCTGTGTTCGCGGTCAGCTACACTGACAGTGTTTGAGCTCTGTTGGCCGGAGTGCTACTAAACCCAAATGTTTTCGTGTCGGTCGCAGGAGCCTTTAAAATTAATTTTAAATTTATTCAGCCAGCGTTTATTTCAGAAGCGTTTGTGTGCTCACGCATCCAGGGAAGAAGAATGAGACTGTAGGGTATATTCACAAAGGCTTAATTTAGCCTGCTGAGTTTAGTCTCCCTAGGCTTCCTCTGTAACTACTGGAGAGAGAGACAGGAGACTTGTTTAGTTGTTCCAACTTGCCCCTTAGAGGACCTTTACATCTTTTATCTCTCCTCTGATTATAGAGAGGACTTTGAGAAAGTTTACCCCAATACCTTGCGTGAAATATTCTCTGCGCGACTGTCCTGGCGGGGTGTAACAGAGCTGGGTTGTCAGTGCATAGAGAGGAAAGTCATTGGAAAGATAATAACTACATTAAAATAGGAACAGATTTGGATTGCCCTTCATCTGGGAACGTTCCGTGTTGGAAGCAGTGCTCCTGCTCTCTGGGCCGTGTGTGGTGTGAAGCACTGTGCGATAGAAGGTAGCAAAGTCCAGGCTCCAGTGAACACACCAGATGAGTCTGTGAGCTGTTTGGTGGATATTTAGGAAGCAGGAAAAAAAAAGCTAAATGAAATTAATGCATTATTCACTGTGATTATTTCATTAGCTACCCTTTCAAACATCCAGGCACCAATATAAACCTGCTGCAGAAATTCAATATATTAACAACCTCATGCCCCCAACAAGAACAAATTAGAATATAAATGTATCCACATCTGTGCCTACCGCTTAAAACTTCCTGCATAAATGCATCCAACAGCAGTTACAGTTCTGTGTTATAGTGGTCTTTTGGCCAGTTCTTTGTGATTCAGTGTCATTCATGTTTTTTCTGGTATAGTTTTCCATCGAATTCCTCAAATCAATCTACTTTCTTTTTGCTGCCTATCTCTGCCTCTCTCTGTCTCTCTGCTTATCTGTTCTTTGTGGCTTATAGATCTGGGGATAAGCTGTCCTTTTTTAAGGGTCGTGCACTTAATGCCTCTCAAGACCCACTTTATCTTTAGTTCAGCCATTGTCCTCACTGGATTTACACCCATCCTTCCTGGAAGATACGTACCTATTGACACGGGAGCTAATTTTCTCTGTGTCTGAAGGCTGAAAGTTTCTGTGGGGTACCTTAGCCATTATTCTGGAAGGGAGTAATGGCTGATGTCACTGTAACTAATTAAAGGACTCATCAATAGCCACTCGAAAGCAGGCCACTGGGCCCGCTGATATTGCTGTGTTGGTGTTCACGGGGATGTCCTTTTTTGCAGTGAGACTGAACACAAAGCTATAAAAGTTAAGAAACAATCTGTCAAGTTTCCTTATCTCTCTCCCAGGCAGTGTAGGGCTGTAAAAGCCCCAGCCTTTCATACCTGCAAACATCACCCCTCACCAGCTGCACTTCCATCACCCAGGAATGACAGACCTACTCTCCTTCGGCGGTGATGTTCATGCCTTCTCGAATATCAGGCATTGCGTGTAGGTCTGTAGGATGTTTTGCAGACTCCTGCCCATTTCTTAAGCTAGATTTAATGTGGATGTCTGTGCAAATCAGAGAGTGGACACAAACTAGTAAGTTCTGGGAAGAAACAGGGCCGATGCCAAGGTAACGTGGCTTCTGGGCTCCTGAGTGAGAGCTGGCCTGTCAGCTAGGTGGGTTCACACACGTCAGCTTCTAAAACTCAGGAGGATATGCCCTTTAGCACATCTCTGCAGCCCCTTATACCAGCAGCCCGCAGTGGCCTGGTTCTGTGGTTGATCCCATCTGGAAAAAGTGGGAACAACTTGTGAATAAGTCTCAGGGTTCATCCCGAAGAGGTTTTCAGCTCCAAAACAAGATCTGTGAGAAGAAATGTCTCAGAAGTAGTCAGCCGGTCCAGCTCCCTTCAGGGCAGGTTGATGGTCTTAGAAAACACCCAAGCTCGTGGTTAACTTTCAGGACATGAACAGTCCCATCTGCATGTCCTCCATCACAGATTAAGCAGCCAGAGTTGCCTTTCCCCTGGGAGTTGTCAGCTGCCGTGTGGGTGTCCCCGCCGAGGCGAGGATTAGCACACAGGGGCCAGTGAAGAAAACACACGGCTTAAACCTTGCACTGCTTTAGGAAAGAAGATAAACAGACACAAGTCCCCACAGCCCTACTTCTTGCCTTCTACTGTACAACCCTGCCACCTTTTTTTGTTTTGGAGCAAAAAGGCCAGGAGGGAAAAGAGCAATTTCTCAAAAACGAGCCAAAAGAAGGAGGTGGAGACTGGGAGAGCAGTACTGGTTTCTCTTCCCTGGGTGCCAGAGAGAGATACCCTGAATCTGGAAAAAACATTCACCAACACAGTTCCACCCTCTCCAGCAGCACCAACATGTCTCTGAATTGTACATTTATTTTTTTTTTCCCCATTTCCTGCATCTGGAGTGGTACAGATGAGCGAGTTTTATTCCTGCCTGTCTTTCATTTCTCCTTTCAAACTGGGTATGGTTGGTTGGTTCCCTTTCTCCTTCCTTCCTTCCTTTCTTTTGTTCTTTCTTTCTTTTGGCTTCTCTTTCCCTTTCCTTTCTACGTTTGTGTTCATAAGCAAAGTGTTTTGTTTTGTTTCAGTCTTTTGGTTTTAATTGCAGTCAGATGGCAGTGCCCCTTTACGGCATGACGCTCAAATGTTCCAAGTGTGGAGTAGTTTCTTCTGCTGAAGTTTCGGCCACAGCCACCAGTAACGCCATGTTAGTTCCTCTAATTTCAACTTCTTTTCTTTCTTTCTTTCCACTTTCTTTTATTTTTAATTTATTTTTTTTCCCTCTCTCATTTCCCTGCACTCACCAGCCCTTGTTTGTTTTCTCTCCCCATGTCCCTGCCCACCTCCCCATATCCCCAACTTTTCCTGACCTCATTCCGTGGGCCATGAGTAGTGTAGGGCTCCTGCAACATCCCCTGAGCAAAAGCTGATGGGCTGGATCCTGAAAAGCACTTTATGACATGCCTAGATTTAAGCATGTGAGCAGCCCATGGAAGACAAAGGGACTCTTTATTTGTTAGGAGCTGGGTATATGTTTAATGCCCCCGTTTAATTTAGTTCTTGGAGTTAGAGACTTAAAGAAGTGGTTCCCGTTCATTTTGATGGTAGACAGAGGCCTCAAACTCCAGCTTTGACAAATGCTTAAGCATGTCCTTGAGTTTTTAACTCCAGAAGCTGCAGAGCATTGAGTATGATTTAAGTGAGTTGGTGAATCGCTTCTAAGTGGTGGGTTTTGGGGTATTTTTTCTCTTATAAAAAGCTAGAGTTAAGTTTAATACCTCATAGGGCTGCAGTTCTGATTTGATTAAGTGTTGACTACCTCTTTTGGACCCCTAAAAGCACTTGGAATTAGTTCTCAAAACCTTAAAGCATTTCATAGCTCTGTTAAAAAAGTCAAATGCTGTTAAATCTCTTCTTAGATGCCGCTGGAATTAGGAAGAAATAAAACACTTATTAAAATGCCATTGCTTTGTTCTGCTAGAGAAATTGTTGCTATTTATATAGTTGGCTTTTTTCCCAAAGGTTAAGGTAGGAGGAAGAGCAATGAGGGAAGGCTTGCGTTTCTTCCTTCCTTCTCTTTTTGAAATTTTATTACCTACCTATCATTTCCAAGTGATGCTGTATTTTGGTTTTGATGTCTAAAGAAATATACATAAAATGTGTGAAAGAAACAGTCTCAGGTCTAGATATCCGCAGTTTGAAAACTCCTACCTTTAATTAATCCAAACAAAAATAAACAACTGAGTGCCAAATCTCAAAATGTAGAAATAGAAAATAAAATCAAAACACAAGGGATTTTTTTCCTTTTTTTTTTTTTTTTTTTTTTT